ACGAAATTCAATTTCATCTGCATTTCTAATTTGTCAGTTTTATCTTTCCATCATCATTCGTAACACCTCTCGCATATTCCTGTCTTGAAAAATTGTTACAGATTCTTTTGAATAGCAAACAACCTCGCGGCAAAGCTCCCTTTACCGAGAATATTATTTGACTTCGTTCGAAGTGATCCGAGGTTGCGCCGCGGTTTTTCAAGGGTCGAAAGTAGTAACTGTGATGGCGCAGGTGACGCAACTTCCGGTTTTATCAGAGATTCCGGCGGATGGGCAATTCGACTTGGCCACTTGCTACGAACTTCGAGGATATGCGGATGTAAGTGTAGCCATCTAGTTTTCGATTAAACGGCTGAAAGTCAAACGGCCTTCTCAACATTTTGGCGCCACGTTGCACCGAGGCCACAGAGTCCTGTCTATTTCAACAAAAATGAAATCATTGCGGTTCGTTGAACAATATTGTGCCCGGATGGAAAATATTCTGCGTTCAATGTTAGTTCAACAGGTCGTTCGCGTTTCATTCGCAGCAACAGCTGTTAATCGAACTTTTGATTGGAGAACGATAGTTTCGTTAGCTCTGGAATCGAGAATTTTCTTGAATTTCTACTTTTGCGTGTTCCTTTTGAGTCGGGGATTCCCAATCAGCGGGTAATTCCCAAGACAGGAATTTCAAGAGAGAGTAATCACGGTTTTATCGTATACTATATTTAGGTATTGCGAGTCGATCGTGGTACGCACTTACGCACGAAAAAGAAAGACAATCACGGGTTTCTCATTAACTGTGACCTTCGTTGGAATTAAATGCATTTAAATAAAACCATTGGATTTTTAGCATCGATATCTTGAAATAGAAGATTTTATCTGGAATGCAAAAGATTTCTACATTTTAAGAAACGACATTCTAACATATGACGGGAAGAATATGCGAAGTAAAATGAATTGGAAACCACTGATTTCCAATGTTTGACATTATAATTATAGGATTATATATATATGTATATATTTTTTATTTCTTTAAATTATATATATAGTTAATTTGATTCAGGGTCTTTGTTTCTTATTTTCAATCTTTGCTCCAACTTCGGAATTAAGAATTTTCTTCACTCAGTTTTCACAAAAAAGGGTAATGTTTCTTTTTTTAAATATAGTAAAATTTACTGACGATTTTTATTACTTGTAATCACAGTATTTTTGTTCATCAGAGTAGCCTTGGAATTTTCTTATAGATCTACATATGTTTGCATTTTTCTTCGATAGCTGTTAGAACTGATGGTATTTATTATTTTCAGTTATAGTATATTTTTTCTTACATCACTTTTGGAATCAAAAGTTTTCTTGAAGTTCTAGTTTCATGTCTTTTCTCAGTTTATTTCAGTTCACGCGAGATAAATGTAATTTTAAAGATAATTAAATTAATTGGTTTTGTTATTTTCAATCATGGTATTTACCTTTGAAATCGAGAACTTTCTTGAAGTTCTTGCTTTTCAAGTTTCTTTTAATTTTCAAGTTATTAAAATATGATTTAAATTGAAATAATATAATTTTCAATGAGATTTGCAACACCGTTATAACAAAATTAAACGAAACTCACGTTTATAATAAAATTTTTCTTGCAACTGAATCACGCAATTTGTGTTAGCAGATTCAATTGAATAAAGTGGTAACCATTTTATGCCTCCTCAACACAAGAGGACTACCTCAGCCGTTTTTCAAAAGCCTGAAATACTTCAAACTGCTGAGCTACGTCAATATCGTTATTACTTTCATATTTAGCCTCATTATTAGAAGCACGTACGATATTATGTACAGTTTCACTTTTTAATTTGAGAAAGCTTATTAAATTCTCCTATAACAGGTTGGGATTGGAATAAGTTCCTAAAAGCATGCTTCCTAAAACTTTAGTTTTATACTAAAGATTATTAATATTCAAGACACAGTCTCACTACGTTCAAGCTACTTAATTATTTTTTATTTCATTTATTCGTAATATTACTTCATAATATTATTACGAGTATTATTATAATTAATAAATGATTTTCAATATTTATAATTCATCTAAATTTTATGCATTTGTGGAGAATATACGTAAAGATACACAATATTTACATAATATTCAAACATGCATAAGCTATCTAAAATATAGTAGGAATTATAATAATAGAATTATATAAGAATTTTCTATGTAATTTTAATGTTTTACATTTTTTTTAAATATATTTCCGTGTAAATATTTTTATATTAACCAGCGTCACATATACTACAATATTTACAAAATCTTTAATCACGTTAATAGAGTTAATATACCGTTTCCATTCTGACGACGTTGAACTTCTGTGTAAATGGTACTATTAAATTTAAATTAAGTTATGTACATTTATACGTCGTCCCTATAATAGAACGTTCGAATAACAGAGTGTTCGGATAGTGAGGTATTCCGATAATAGGACTTAGAGACTAAATTGTACTCTCACCTCAGTAGATAATATAATACATATCACAATATATAGAATTTTCATATATTCAGAATTTTAGAAAGCATTTACAGATGTTCGTCATTTACTGAAATTACTAAATTCGTAGTTTATTAAATTTATCAAGCTTGTATTGCTAAAATATCACGTTAGCAGTCTGGATATGTCTCTAACAAGTGACTTGTGAACGTAATTTAATACGTTATTATAGTTTGTGAACTGTATCAGTTATTAATTGGAAAATGTTATGTTATCAGTGAGCTGATCATTATCTAGCTAATGATCAATATTGTAGAGCTCAGTCGATAGAGACATTTATAATACCACCATTCATGTAGATATGAAAGCACTAGAGATCTACAATTAGCGAAATGAATTATTACAAATTGCATAGTAATTAACCCTTTGGGTGTTTAAGCTATAATGAAGTATTAATCATGTAATCAATAACAAAATTGGTTTAGTTGTTAAAGGTTCAAACAGGATAAAATATTAAACAATATATTATATATTAAAAAATTATATGTTTAAAAGTGAATGCATTCTTAATTTTTCACATGCTTTTCGTTCAACATTAAACTGTTAGACTTTCGATAATTTACAATTTAATTTGATAAAATCGAAGCATTCAAACGATTAATAAACTGTAGTTTCTTATTTTATAGTAGTATCTTTTTATAGAAAATTTTACATAAAATATGCAGAAACATATAAAGTATTTATTACAGTATACATAATAGATGAAATAAATTTCTATTTAGGATTCGTTTCCTTAGTTACAATAGTTTCAAAATGTTTCGGTATATTCGATGAAAAATTATCGATATTTTGAACTCTTATTAACTTTGTGAGAAAAGTCAATCATACGACAAATTTTAAAGGATCATTGTAAAGAGGAAACTTTAATTTTTCGATCTTTTAAAATTTGTCGTACGATTTCATTATATAAAATTAATAGGAATTTAAAATATCGACAATTTGTCGTCGAATATGTAAAAACTTTCTAAAGTCACCGTCATAAATATTTTAAAAATTTGTAAGTTAGTAATTAAACACGTTCGTTTATAGCTAGGGATCTTCAATAATATTATTTATTCGAACAAAATTTCAAAGAAGTATATTTTCATTAAAGTGTAAAAGTCTGATATAGCGATATGAAAATAAAAATACAATGTGAACTAATTACAACATGAGTTCGTAGATATTTTTCTCTCCTTAATTTCATATTTACAATCGAAACAATAGTTCTCTGTACAAGCATAGCAACTTCATTTCTATTTAGCACGGTATGTCCCTTTACTACTGGCGGAACAGATACAAAGCATGTCGTAAACTCAGTGTCAGGCAATAGTAAGTTTCAAGTATCGACACTTCTTGAAGAGGAACAAGTTATTATTGTATACAACGCCACACAGTGTTTGCGAGTCACACGTTTCAAATGTACATGTATATTGTAATATATGTATTTAATGAAAAAGAGTTCAAAATTAAATTTTGAAACAATGATCATAAATTTTTAAATAACATGGTAACAGAGATTTTGTTATCTAAATAACTTCTATCTATTTGTATATAGACCAAATTATAACCAATGATTTTAATTGAATATCAATTATTTATTTAAAAAACAGAATTGAATATCAATTATTTATTTAAAAAATGTCATTTTTTTATTGCATAAATAAACTATTTTGTACGAAATTCTCAATTAATATTATTCAAGTATGCGATTAACACGATGTTTAATCATCTCAAAAATCAATAAACTTACTTTCATGGAGTTGTTTGTCAAAAGAAAATAACATAGATAATCGTGAATTTGAAGAGGAAATTTTTAAATTAACACTTACAACTGTCATTACGTTCAAAATTAATATTGTTAGTAATTGGAAAAGATTTTGCTGCCAGAAGAGATTTTCGAAATATGTTTCATTCTCCATGCTGGGCAATAATACAATCTCTGTCCAAATTCTATTCTTATTTTCAGAGATCGTAGAGATCAAACATAAGATGAAGAACATCTTGAAAATTTCTTCTGCGATTGTGCAATACCATTGTGATTCATTGTATAACGAAAAAATAACAAGTTTCGTTCGCATCGCTTAATTTCCTCTCCTTTATTTCATCAAATATTTTTTTAAGAAGAAATCCTATAAAAAAAGTGTTTCGTGCAGAAGTTTCTTCTTCTTTTTATCACAGAATAAACGTTCGTAAGGAAAAATATACTTTTCCATTTGAAAAAGGATCGTCAAATAAGATTTTCAAATAACGCGAGGACGTTTAATAAATGAAAAGCAGTTGCTCGTGACACTTCTCCCTCGAAACTTTTATATTAAACATTTTTGCTGGAAAAGTCTAGTGTTAGAAAGAATTTTGACTAAGTCGAAAGGTTCTACTATTTATTAGCGTGTGTCGTTAAAAATCACTTATTGTCACACTAATTTGGTTAAAAAATTTTAATATTTAAACAGGGTGTGTCGAGCTTCTAAACGGTAGTATGTTCATCGCGTTTTAATAAAATAACTTTACCTTTCATCGTGAAATATCCCGTTTGCAACGAGTTAGTTACACAGCTACTTCACAACCTGGTTCACAAATATTCTCAAGATCACGTTCGATCTTTGTTTCTTTCGCGAACACGGATTGTTTTTCTACGTACATTGTTTCACTCTGTTATTTACGCTCAGTTCCCACAACACGAAAACGTGTAAAAGAGTAAAGAAGCGTACGCGAGAAAAATTTCACGCGCAGCGTATTGCCGTAAACGCATCCGACGCGAAATTTTACAAATGAATTCAAGTATTGACCGATTAGACGGAAACGAAAGAGACTCGCTTGATATCCTTGCCCAAGTTCCGAAGTGACTGGACGCGAAGTCCGTTCCACGAGAGCACGTAACAAGCATTATCGTTTGCCAAATCCTCACAAGTCACGTATTCTCTACGACCAGTTGATAATGCAGACTGACAGAATTCTAGTGGGAATTCGATTCAATGACGCGCTCCCTACTGCGCTTGGATTCCAGCAGAAACGTCTCTGAACGTTGTTTCATTCCGTAATCTTTTGTCGATTGTACATTGGCGAAAATATGTAACGTGCTACTGGATGTTGTTTGATCAAGGAAATGATGTAAGAGATTATTTTCGGGACGTTTGTTGTCTGAACAATAATGAAATTATGGGCCAACGTGTTGTTATTTGAAATTCTTTCCTGAAAATCGATTTTTGTTACTAAATTCTGGCTTTTTAATGTTGTACGAAAATAAATTCCAAGAGTTTATTTTAATATCTTAATATAGTTAATATTGATATTATTTTTATTTATATTTAGTATTGTTTCGTCATTATCTATTTTTTATTTTGATTGGATAATTTTATGAAAGAAATTAAAATATTTGGGATACTAAATAGTTGAAGTATAGGATCCTTAATGAGGAAAATGTGTGTTTCTTTTAATTGCATAAAGGAATATATAAATGTATCTCAATCGCATTGTAAAATCACTTTTTTTTCAAATTTTAATTTCGTTAAAGAATTAATTTTAATAAAATTAATTAATTTCGTTAAACAATTTTTTTAATTGTATTAAAGAATATTCCTATGTTAATTAAATTTTTTTAATTGTTAATTAAAAATTAAATCTATGAGTGTTTCTTCGATCAATTATACACAATACAGAAACACATGCTATCAGATGTCGATCATCAAATAAGAAGAAATTATTTTTAGGACTTTTAAAATGTAACAATAGACATTTAAAGCGTAACAATAAAATGCATGGTATCTCTGGTTATGTAAGCGAATATACTTTTAATTACATTGTAGAATATTCTCATTAAAGATTTTTTTTTAGAGTTACTCTAATCTAAACTAAAAATAATTAACACTTTCAACACTATACAGGAACAATGTAATCATCAAGAACAATGCCTTTGAGAAAAATCTAGCACAGCCATTCAGAGATCAAGTCGTTTTGACAAGACTTATAATTGCTCGTAAAAACCTCAAACATTTGTAAGTACGTCATTAAGCTGAATGCAGACTAACAAACAATTATTCACATGTGTCTACAGACAATTCGTACAACATGATGTAATAAAACTTAGCTCCTGAATATCTCCGTTATTTTTAGAGATATAAAAGAATTTTGTTAACAAAAATTGTTCAGAATAGAAAGGACTATAATACGATATAATAATTTTTTTGTAATATTAACTATAATACGATATAATAATTTTTTTGTAGCTTACAGTTTCGGAAATTGCAAACTCACTTCCATTTTCTCTCCAAAATCTCCAAATTCAGTTATACTATTATAAATATTAATAATTACCTTAACTCCTTCTATACTGAACAATAATTGTTAATGATGCTTTTTTCAGATTTTCAAAAATAACGAAAATTAGACCCCCTTGTATATGTTTTAGACAGTTCACAAGTAACGAGAAATAAAAATACAAGTCCAGAGACAATCCTCGAACAAATATTTGGTTTGCACTTGGTTTCCCATTGAAGTGGAAAACAAAAGGCAATATCTATAGACAATCATTCGTCAGTCAGGATTAGAGTAAACGAGTAAACTAACAGTAAATACATGATATCTGTATATCGTCAAAATACGTATATACTGTTGGTGTGAAGTTTAAAGATGTGAGAAATTTAATAAAATTTTCAGAAATTTAAATAGAATTTGAATAGACATTTTAATAAAATTTTCAGAAATTTAAATATAATTTTGTATAAAGCTGTTTTGGCTTTTATTAAAAGTACTAATATACATAATATATAATTCGATTTGTTATAATAGTAACCACAATATTATTGCTTTTAATAATTAGATTAGATTTTTACAGGCGTAGAAAATTAAATAGAAATTTACGTACGTTGTTTTACGTACCGTGATATTTTATATATTTTTACATATTGTATAATTGAATAAGTATTTTTCGTTATTCTTGTTTACTAATAACTCATCGGATGATACAGTGATATAATTTTAGAATTAAATTGGAGAAGGAAAATAGTGTATTGGAATAATTAAAGTTATGTAAACATATAAAAGTATTTTTACCTAATTTGTAGAGTGAGAATGTTAAATATACATGTATATGTATGTGGTACATTCAAAATAAGTTTTGTTCTTTCAAACTAATTGGAAATCTAATTCAATTTTCTCAAGAAAACGTTTAGTGGATTTGACAGCGTTTACAGGCTGAGAAGAAAATAAACAAGTTAAGTGAAAGAATAATTAAGTGGAAGTTCAGGAAGTTGCTCTTCGTTAATCTTCTTTAATCGTCTTTCTACTAAATAAATCAATAAAGAAGAGAATAGAATGATTTATAGGTAAAGTTTAACTTTTTGAACACTAAAGAGAATATATAATATGTAAACAAATGGTATATTCATGCATGTATATGTATCAATGTATAAATCCATAAATTATATATAAATAATATTTACATAAATATATGTGTACATACATATGTATATCTATACATATATAATAATACATGTTATATCATATTAATATTACATATAAATTATCCAAACTATTTTATTCGTACACTTGCAAATTTATTTTGAATTACTTTTAAGAAACTATTTTACATTTTCAATTAATTTTAATTATTATAACAAAATTATAATTATTGTAATTTCCACATTATTGTATGATTTCATACCAAATCTTATTCATAAAGATACTTTTTTAGAGATACTATCCTTGCAACAATCTTTTTATATTTTTTCGAAATTTCAACTTTTGTTAATAATATCACGAGGACACGTAATTTGCATTATCATTTGCCACATAGACGGAAGTCACGTATTTTCTAGGTAAATAATGCAGTAGAAAAAGTGTAACGAGTATTTTTAATTCTAATAATCTTTACGACAGTACTCGGAAGACATTAATTATTTGAAATTTTTGTCCATTACACCTAAACTAAATTGAAAAAATTTATCTAGATTCTTTCAAGAAATTATTCACAGTAAGTAAACATACTAAATCATAGCAAGTGAGTGGCAGAATTTTTAATAAAAATTTAGTTTCCATAGAAGTAGTTATTTAGTCAAAATTATTTTAATAAAAATTTTAGTTTCCATAGAATTTATACTTTTTTTAGAGATAATATTAATCAAACTATAATTCATCAGATTCAATACATTTTAATCATTGCAAAACTAAATTGTTATAATTATTACAATTACAATTTTTAGTTCAGTCTTTACAATTGCCAGTAGATCTTTTTCATGATCTCTTTTTGACATTAATAATAAATTATCTTTCCTCTCAAAGTTTCTTTGAAATTAGTGTCAAGGTTGTTTTATTGTGTTAAATCAAAGTTCAAAACTCTCTGAAAAATATATTCAAATCTATTATTGATTCATAGTTCATTTTGACGCATAATCTATCTTATAATAAAACATATTATAAATTATAAATTATAAATATGTTATATTATAAATTTACAATAAAATTTATAATATTATTTTTAATAATATTATACAATATTATGTAAGAATCACATTTTGATGAAGAATGTTTATTTATTTGTCGAAGGGTGTCTATCTTTTCTACAAGAAAAATCTCTAAAAATCATTTTTTACAACATTCTGTATATATTTGATCTTCTCAGAAAGTTCCTTCCAATATGCTAAGTCAGCTTTTCAAGACTGACTCTTAACGTAGCACTCTTCATTGTCTCTGAATCGAAGCATTCTTACGAGTTTAGAATCCTTGGCACTCTATGAACAGAAAAATGCTAAATCGAAATCATCGTCAAGTGTACTTTATTATACGTCTTTTGCTATTATAATATACTATTGAAAGTTATGAGGTTGCGGATATTTATTGTGCATTTTTAAACATTCAGAAATCTACAGAATATAAAAAATATATTTGAAACGTGTAAGATACCAAAAGTAAAGTACTTATTATAATATTTAATATACGAAACAAACTTTTGTTTAAATTTCATTTCTATATTGGTGCTATTTCTAAACAAAAAATTCAGCAGGAAGATTAACACTTATGAGATCTTGCTGGCTCATTAAAACTGAAGGTTACCCGAAATTTTGTAAATTTTCAGCGATACATTTTTAAAGATTTGAATAATTTAAATAAAATCTTGTATTATTCTGCTTTTCGTTGTGTTTTTTCCGTAGGAAAATTTTTTTTTTATTTCAGACAGTTAAATCTTTCTCAATTTTATAATTCAGTCGTCAGTAGTTCTAGTATCAAAAAAGCATATTTTTCATCGTGAAAATGAAAAATGCTCTCTCTTACAATAGGAAGAATTTCATATTTCATTACATGAAACTGAATGAAAATTTAATCAATTTTGGAAATAGCAGAATGACAATATAATAACCTATATCTTACTTTTTAATACGGTATATTTCAATATGATAAAAATCCCTGATATTGAGATAAATGTCGTTAATGATGTAATTGATATAATTGAAATATGACTTGAAAACTATGAAATAAAATTATAAAAGTATAAATATAATATTCTTCTTTTTTTTAATTTTTTTCTGCACAGTCAATTTTAAAACATACTCAGATTTATTAAATAAACAAATAATTGTACAATATTATATTTAAAGCAATTTAATAACGGTATTAATGTATCATAGTAAAGTACAGCTTCATAGATCGACAATTATAAAATATGAGGAATGAGTGGATTAATAAATATCAAACTTTAAATTGAAATACAAATTTAAAATCAATATGTTGAAAATAAATTTGTATTCCATGTTCATAAATGATGAAAAATTTTACAATTTATGAAACTATTTAATTTATTTTATTTTGTAGCTCTTACTTATATTTACTAATTCGCAAGTAATATAGATTATTAAAGTTATATATAATTCTGCTT